ATCCTTACATACCCTAGACAACAGAAGCCGAACAGCGTCGCGTTCAACTTGAGCGTTTCACGGCCCTCTGGGGGACTACTGCGGCCACGTGGTGCTGTCAAGGGGCTGTTCGACAACGTCGACGAATCGATGGAGGTCCTCCCCTCAACCGAGCCCATCGAAGAGGATCAGGCCTTGAGCAGCCAGCCGCGCAACCCCGGCTTCCTGTTCGGAAACGACCTCAGCTATGCAGCCGATGTGCTTGATGACGAATCCGAGGCCGAGGCTCGAGATGTAGACCAGGAGATCCTGGACATTATGGAGATCGATCGCGAGCTGGAACAGATGGAGTCGGAGCGTGACCGGGGCACCAAGCGCGTCTTCTTCGAGGAGGGATAGTGTCTTTCCCCGGGGGCGAATGGCACTTTGGGATGGGAGGAGGACCCTGTCCAAGAAGGTGAGGTGTCACCAGATACGGCGGAGTTCCGGGCCAATAAAGAGGGTCGGTGGATTCAGGGCACGATGAAAACCAAGCGGTTTGTTTACTTCACCGCTGGGGAAGGACCGCCTGTCAAGAAGTTAATGCTTCAGAAGAACAGCAAGACCATATGGGAAGGCCTGGATAAGTTCGAGGAAGCCCAGCTGGAGGAGACAGGCGGCGAAAGCTCTGAGCAGATGAATGTGGATATGGATGAGGATTTTGAGAAACTCGTTGACCCCGTCAATGATGAGACTAACGCAGCACAGCCGACTTAGGAATGGCAGCGACGCTCTCCATGGGAGAATGGGAAGGAGGCTATTCGGCGGTTTGTCTTGTTGGAGAGATGGCTGTGATGCGAGATCATGGTTGTTGGAGAAGTTGTTGGCTTACAAAAATGTGTGGAGAGCCTCTCGGTCGCAACAGATTATGCTCACGTGGCACGCTACGAAGCAGGGCGGCCGGAAAGGAGAGGCTGTACGATACCCGGCCAGCGAGCTGACATGGATCAGCACCAAAACAGGAAAGATACGAAATAAGAATTGAGGACCCCGGGCCCCTTGTTGACCTCGCGACTGGTGTGTGAGAAACTTTGATCCGGTTTTTTTTCCTTGCCTATGTTTCCTTCTCCCTTTCCCACCCCTTCACTTCCTTTTCCCATCACAATACATCATCCGCACGGCTTGGTGGAGCACAAGGCGAGACCCATCCTTGATCCAGCTCTGTATTCCGAGCGGTAGAATAAAAAAATCACAAAATGTTTACGACGGTTTAGCCACGTCCGCTGGGGACTCTCGTCTCTGGCTGGCGGCGACGGGCGGGTTGTAAACGGCCGGCGCCACTGGAAGGTTTATGGAAGGGCAAATTTCAGCTTTGAATAGGAGGACGGGGGAGTAGAAGCTGCCCGGCCTCGGTGTCTTTCTGCTATCTCTCCCTTTTGGGAGGGGTGGTGGTGGGCGAGCTCACGAGGGCGGGGGTGCTGGGCGCCGGGACATTTTTCTTATACACTCGGAGAAGGGGTTGGTTATTTGTGATTACGTCTTTTTTATGATGGGTTGAGGTGATGATTGCCTCCTCGCATTTAATTGAGTTGCCCACTGGCCGAATTGATGTTGAGTGTCATGGCGAGTGCCGGGATGCTAATTCAATGGCATTAGCTTCCAATCACCCGACTACAACAGTGTGAAGATGAGACATCATGATGTGAAGAATAAAGGTTCAATTCCCCAGCAAAAGAGCGCCGCGCCAGCCAGGCAATCAGCTCCCTCGATGCAACGCCGCGGCGAAGGAAATATAATACACCATGCTAACCCACACTGCCATCATCCCCCGCTTTACATATTCCGCTTCACCTGCTCCGCCGCCCCCTTGGCCTTGCCGGCGGCCTGCTGAGCAGTACCTTGGGCCTGGCCAGCAGCCTGTTGCGCGGAGCCCTGCGCCTTGCCCGATACCTCCTCGGCCGTGCCCTGCGCCTTGCCTGCCATCTCGCCCACGGCGCCCTTGGCCTTGCCCGCCATCTCGCTCGCCTTGCCCTTGGCCTCGCCCTGTAACTCGGCGGCCTTGCCCTTGACGTCGCCAGCCGTGATGTTCTCGGTCGTCTCCTTGAGTTTGCTGGCGACGGTTGCTAAAGGGCAGATGTTAGTGTGAGGGAAAGGGTAGGGTAGGAGGGGGAGGAAAGGAACATACTGCCAATGTCGATGCCGTCGACGAGCTTGTCGCTGACTGCACGGTCGACGGACTTGAGCGCGTCTTTGGCCGAGTCGGTCGCCGTCTTTTGGAAGGCTATGCTGGTGGAGAAGCTCGCGCGGGGCGCGGATGTGGCGAGGGTGCGGGGGACCTGGAGGGTCGCGACGCGGCGGAAAGCAGTTTCTGTGAGGAACGACATGGTGATGTGTGTTTGTGGTTGTGTTGTTTGTGATGGTTTGTTGGAATGATTGGACTGCTTTGCGAGTTGGTTTGGTTGAGATGTCTGATGTGGTCAAGAATTGACTGTTTTTGAAGAAGACAGTCGGTTTGTGCAGTTATAAAGGTTGTGCCTTGGGATCTTCACGACAGGTACGGTTTCGTCGTGGTGATGTCATAGCCGCTGGTGTTTGTATTTAGTGGGGCAGTCCTAAGCAGGCGCGAGGCCAATGACGTCCATGGAGTGGGGAACGATTGAACGGATGGAAGCACATGCTTCAAGTTTCAGCGCAGCTGCGCCTGCAGCACATTGAGAAATTTCCAGAGTAGGGCAGTGTCATTGAAGACTCCAAAGTTTAGGGCCCGACCCAGGAACCAGACCCCTAGGACTCTGGTGGCTCAAGGGCTCAAGTTGTTGCACCCGGCGAACCTGTCTTGTAGCTGCTGTCAAGTGCTAGTGCAACTTCTCCTCTACACTTGCGCGATGTTCAGTTGTCCGCAAACCTAAAAGCATCGCTGTGGCCGAGGATGCGCGACTGTTGTCATAGTCGCGGTGTCCGAGCGTGCGTGCATTTGGCCAGTTGCAGGTGTCCATCACAGCAAATAAACGACACAATTCGTACTTTCCCATCTTCTCTCATTCTGCCGACTCTCTGTCAGCAACAGCTGACACAAGCCCCGCATGACCTCTCGTCTTCATCTACAAACCAAAGCCCACGACAAGCGCATATCCCGCTGGCCACCACACACTATCGAGTTCCCCCAGAGGCCAGTGCAACTTTACGTGTGAAGCAGTTAAAAATAGAAGGGCAAAATAGTATAAACCCCCTCCTCGCCAGAGAAATTCCCGCCCCCAACTCTTCCGTGTCCAAATCAAACTGCTAGTATCGTGAAATTCCAGGCTAGCGCACATCACCGAGAGCGGTTGCGGGCAGCCAGAAATGAAATGCATCGACGCAAGATGATGAGCAATGTCTACTACAAGTCCCAAAACATGAAGCTTACTGCGGATTTGCCTGCCTGATGACGTTGTGTACACTGCGACGCTACCTACGCGAGACGTTGGTCCATGCCTTGGCCTGTGGATGGGGCCCTATGGGTCTCCCAAAACTCCAAAACCAGACCAAGCGCCTTGATGACGATACGATAATAGATCCATCCCAGACAACCCGACCAAGAACCACACGGAAACCTACGTAGCCCTATCTACCGCCCCTTGAACACGGGCTTCCTCTTCTCCGCAAACGCCTTCAACGCCTCATCCCGATCCTGGGTCGCCACCACTCTCTGATACATACTCCCCTCCATCAACTCCCCAGGCTCCTGCACCGCGCGCAGCGCAGCCCGCACCGCAACGGGCCCGCCCTCGGCAATCTCCCCAGCTAGTCTGACCGCCTCACTCAACGCCGTCCGTCTCGCGAGCGCAAGCATCAAGCCCCCCCTCTCCTCCTCCTCCAGCGCCTCCCACTCGGCCACCTCCTCCTCCGTATCGGGCCGCACCTCGACCAGCCGGTCCGCCAGCCCGATGAAGTACGCCTCGGGCCCCGACACCCGCCGCCCCGTCACCACCAGGTCCCGGGCGCGCGCCACGCCGATGAGCGCCGGCAGCCGGAAGGTCCCGCCCGCGCCTGGGATGATGCCCAGACGCGTCTCGGGCAGGCCGACGACGGCGTTGGCGGTGAGGACACGGAAGTGCGTGGCGAGCGCGAGCTCGAGGCCGCCGCCCAGGGCGAGGGAGGAGATTGCGGATATGGTCGGGATCGGGAGGGTGGAGAGGGAGGTTAGGGTTGTGCGGAGGGTGAGGAGGAAGGCGGAGGTTCTGGTGGCGGGTTGTTAGCTAGTTGTTAGCGATTGAGAGAGGGAGGGAGGCGTACTCTTCTGGGGTGAAGGTCTTGCGTTCCTTCAGGTCGGCGCCGGCGCAGAAGGAGGCGTCGATTGCTGAGGCGATAATCAGCGCGCGGGTTGGGCCCGTCTTGTGCTCAGCCATGTCGCCGAAGCGCTGGTTCCATGCCGAGGTTGCCAGCTCCTCGCCCGTTTCAGCGTCGTATTGGGCGTGCACGGCATCAATTTCCTCGCGCAGTGAGGAGAGCAGCGCGCGTGAGATAGCGTTGCGGGCCGTGGGTCGGTTGAGCTCGAGGATGCGGATGTGGCCAGACCCCGGGGCGGGGATGTTCGTGATGCGGATCAGAGGGCCTGCGCTTGTACTGGTCGAGTACCGCACCCGGCTGACGAAAAATCGGCTGGTGTGTCGTGCGGCACGCGGCAGCGCCATCGCGGAGAAGAGGGCTCGTGGAGGCATCTTGTGTGGATTGCAATTGGAATTCCAATTGACAACGGCGTGGGAGAGCGATTCCTCTGATGGGGGAGCTTGGCCCGAGCTGTGTGCAATGACGTCCCCCCACTTGATGATTGCCGGCTAACATCGGCTATGGAACTCTGTTGCCATGGGCGCTAGACCTGGGCCACGAATAACCCCTGGAGGTTGCTTGACAGCACCCCTGAAACCCCCGTACAAAAGTCGTGATGCTCGCGCAGCGTTCTTCGTGTGGATGTAGGTGCATTCAGGCGTTGAAGCCAGTCCAAATAGATGTCCACTCGACTCCATCCACGGCTTTCCGGCTCTGTTCCCTCAACTGTTCAAGCCCGATTAGCTCAGCTGGTTAGAGCGTCGTACTAATATCCTCTCCGGAATACTAAGTAAATGCGAAGGTCAACAGTTCAATTCTGTTATTGGGCATCATTCACTCAGCCATCAATGGCTGCTTCCATTTTGGGACTTTTTACACCTGATACCTCTCGTACACCGAGCGAGCCCAGCTCTCGATATTTTCAATGAAGCTCTCCCACAGTAGAGGGCACGGTCGACCTTGCAAGCACAGTTGATACAAGCAATGATAAGGGACGATTGTCGTTCACCAACCGAAGTGCTTCCCATCACGCAGCCATAGCAGATGCGTGTTACAACTTCTACCCTCAACCCTGAACCTCAACTCCGGTATCATTCTGCAAATCCCATTCTAGTAGTATTGTTGTCCCTGCTGACCATGTAGAGCAACAGGCAGAATAATCCCCTGTGGAAGTTAAGGTTTGGGTACCTGCATCTCAGGCCGAGTCACTGCCGGCACTGCATGCAGCCACTCGACACCATCAGTCCCCAATACACACATTCATGTGGCAAACTTTGACAAGCTCACTTCTCTTCTCTAGCTGTGTGCCTAGCCGCAGGCACAACTTGAAAGATTTGGCCATATTGCTATTTGCTTGCCCCAGAAAAAGCCGTCATGGTAAGTTACTTCTTCAATTAAAGAAATGGTTAATTGAAGACAGTCTTTCATAGCAAACTTCAAAGTAACACATCATTGCCCAGTCAATACCCAGTTAATGGTTGGATCAAAGAATGCATAAACCGGTATTCTGTCTAACCTATTTAAGAAACATTAGTTATAGCTCCAACAAGTCGCACAATGAGGGGTTGTTACTGTCATTTCGGGGTCGCGTTTGTTCCCCATCCTTTAAATGCCCGCGCCACCCTCCTACCTTCCTCTCTTCTTTCTTCATACAAATCAATATATATCGCTGATTTCACCAAATCATCTTAACATTTTTTATTTTTTTGTTTCGTCAACCGACGTATCGCCCATTTACGACCAGCTTTATCATTCGCTTATGCCAATTCCTATTCGCCGCAGTTAGGTACTTTTAGATAAAGTTCCTTGATTCAATCCTCAGGGACTCAGCTAGAAGATCTCGACACTGGCCCACAGCAAGATAAGACCTTTCCAAGATAGTACCTGTCAACGACAACTTGAACTGTTCAAGGGGGGTTCAAGTAGTAGTCACCATGACGGGAACCGGATCACTTGCGAGAAAGTTCTCTCGTCGCAAATCACAAGTTGCGGGGCACCGAGTCCCACGGCCAAAGAATGTAGGTTAAGGTTTACTTTCTAGGGCCACATTCTGGCCATACAGTCATACCGTGGTTCATTTGTTAGCGGCTTTCGTTCACGATTTGCTTCCTCGGCGCCGAGTGTGGTTGTCCGGCCTAAGTTCTCCTGCCTGACTTTTTCCTGCAACAGGTCAAGCTGGACAGAGCACGTCTTTACCCGCTTTATTGACTCCGAAAGCCCCTTTCTCTTCGACTCCCTTCCTCGCTTCACCCCACGCGCAGCTTGATAATGCTCTTGTCTCCACCCGACCAAATCACTTGCGCTTTATTGACCCCGAAAACCCCTGCCTCTTTGTTTCGTCTTTTCACTTTCAGGCACAACAGATTTCTCTTTGTTTTCACGCACCGGGTATCTTGTGCTGTGTGTTCCTCTCGGTATGTAATTCAATGGCAAGTCCTCGCACAGCACCTCACCCATGTACGGCCCCCAGCGTTTTGATATTCATCCTGAGTGCGCCCTGTGCCCCTTCTTAACGGCTGGCCAAGTTGCGTCAAGGCATCCCCGGGCTCGTTTCAAGCATTTGGCGTGCACTTTGAGGGTCTTTGTGGGTGCTTTTAGTGCTCTGATTCCCCTCTAGAGGCATTTAGGGGAGGCTAGTGTCTCCTTTTGCGTCTTCCTTTCACCGAGTCTACAATCGCGCTTGATGCCTGGTCGACTTACATCAGAGGCAGTACATTGACTCCTTTCAAGACCTTTGAGAAGCACTTTGAGGGCTTTGGTGAGCAATCTGAGCAAATCCGATTGCCGTGCCAAGGCATTCCAGAGTTGTTTCAAGGTGTTTTGGAGGCATTTCTTGGGGTTCTGCAAGCACTTTTAGCCGTCTGGTTCATCACTGACCACGCTCGAATGGCAGGGCACCACTCATATCAAACCGTTCGGCACGAGATCCACAAGATCAAAAAACACGATCCCGAGCCAGCCTGGTGCCCTCGAGATTCCAGGTTCACAGGACCCGAATGCCCAAAACTTGAACGACCCTGCTTCCAGTAGGTGTGCACTTGCGCCACAGCTCGCTTTCACTGTTGCTAACTCCCCTTAGCTACCATCTCGCCGATTTTCGCTGGATTTGGGATTGGCGAGTCTTCTGGAGCAACAGCCCCGTCTTCCCCGTCTCCACTCGCCTCAGCGTTCACGCCCTCACCGTTTGAGCCCGCATCACTCCCTCCAGCTATTGGTTTGTCTCCCGCTTCCGTTTTCTCGTTTCCTGCTTCCGTTTTACTCGTTTCCTGGACTTGCACGTGAAATACACGTGACCCACTTGCCCATTTCCTCACCCCCATGTGATTGGGCATGTGACTACCTCGTTTTGTCGAGTGAATGCTCATCGTTTTATTCACATTTCCCGCACCTACCTCACCGTTTCCACATTTACACCACCGTTTCTAAAACAGATCTCGCCGTTTCCCACACTCATCTCACTATTTTACGCACTCGACTCATCGTTTTCACCAGTCTCACCATTTCATGCACCCGCCTCACCATTTGCGTCCACTTCGTGCCCCGAAGCGACAGCGCTGACTCCCGCGGCCTCATTTCCTAGCGCCGTGATCTCGTCTCCCGAAACGGTCCGCTCATCCCCCGACCCCAAATCGGTACCCGCAATGTCTTCTAATCTCGGAGCGGCCCCCGCCACGACTCTTAGCCCCGACGCGGTACTCATCCCTGGATCCGGATCGGCTCCCGATTCCGCTCACAGTCTCGGAGCGACGTCAGGCGGTGGAGCGGCACCCTCCGGAGCCCCGAACGGCGATGAGCAACCTGCCGACAATGAAACCGACGTTGCTAGTATCTGGGATGGCTCACTGGAGGAAGGAAGAAGGCAAATCACCACTTTGATCACCAAGACCAAAAGATTCCACGGCTCGGACCAAGCCCCGAGCGTGGTGGCTGAACTCGACAGGCGTGCCCGCTCAGTCCGAGCTTTCCTCTTCTATCTAGAGCATACAGCAACCATCTCCCCAACCGTCAAAGAGAAGATTCATGCAGCTCTGAATCTTTTCAAGACTGGCGACAACCGTACTGCCCATGTCCCCCGTGGCATCATCGACAAGGCAGTCGAGCTCTTTGACAGATTTGAAGACGAAAACTGGGGTGAGGACGAGCCAGACGAGCCGGAGGACGACACATCTCTGGCAGTTGCGGCAACACCCGCCGCCCCGGCCGCCGCTCCTGCACGGCCCGGCATTGTCACCAACACGGTGGAGACCAGACTGCCACCCCGCAACCATCCGATATGGGGAATCAATGGCATTATGCACGGTGTCACACGCTATGTCAAGAAGAATGGAGGTATTGGATATACCCTTGACAGCCGGTATGCCAAAAGGCCTTTCGATGTCTTCGGCCACAATGGCTTGGTTCCTGGATATTGGTGGCCCACCCAGCTTGTCACCCTCTTCCACGGGGCCCACGGCCATCAGGTCCGTGGGATCTCGGGCTCAAAGGACCACGGAGCCTATTCCATCGTCATCTCAGGACGGTCCATCTACGGCGACATGGACGAGGACACGGGTGACGAGGTGTGGTACAGCGCCGACAACAGCCGCAAGAACACGTCGCGGAACTCACTCCCGGCCGATAGCAACGGATCTCAGAGCCTTCGGATTTCCCTGGCGACCGGCAGTCCAGTCCGCGTGCTGCGTAGCGCCGGACACGGAGCCGGCGCCGCTCACCATTGGGCCCCGTCGGTGGGCTACCGCTACGACGGCCTCTACACGGTCGTCCGGGTGCGGCAAGCCACCAACGACAACGGCGGGCTGTACGCCCAGTTCCTCCTGCGCAGAGTGCAGGGCCAGCCCGGACCCGGTCTGGCGGTTCTCCGCCAGACGATCCCGAACAACCAGCAGAAGGCGGACTTCGGCAGGATCAACGCCGGGTACTAGGTTAGGAAGGGATTGGGGGGGTGGGGGGTTCTTTGCTGTGTAGGGTATATTGTGGGCGTATTTTGCTTTGTTGTAATTACAATTTTGCCGCCGAAAGGGCGTGAGCAGGGCGTGGGGGGGTGAGGGCTGGCAGTGAACAGCTTGGCCCTGAAAGAGGGTGGGGCTTTGAAGCCCTGATGGAGAGAATGATGCTTTGATTTTCCTGACATATCGGTGCTGACATGCCGAGAATGTCCTGACGTAACCAAGATGCTGATGACCTCATCTCCACTTCACCAAAACACCATGAATTATTTTGTTACTGCAGGCGCGTGTTCGAGGTCTGTGGGTAAGTCGGTGGGCTGAAAAGGGTCGTAGTTTGAGTTATCAGGAGTCGAGGTATCTCGATAACGGTGCTGTCTCATAACTTGAACAGCGAGAGCGAGCAGTAGCCACCCCAAAGTCACTCGGATCGCTCGGATCAAAGACGGGCAGAGACCCTCGCCTGGCAAATGGTCTATTTGAAGCCCTTGGGCTGGACCAGGCATCGAAGTACGAGCCGCCCAAGCCAGTGCTCATGGAAAAACTCGCAGAGTAATCGCGTGGATGCTTGGCGGCCGCGTTTCCTCAGAAACATCCAGGGGTATCATCTCGGGCAGCACTGCCACTGTTACATTGTAGGCTAGATATCATGCCACCTCAGCATACCTCGCGACTCATATTAGCCCAGCTGGCAGAACGGCATGGAAAGCAGCAGCTAGAAAGGAAAGGCAGTGAGGGCAAAGGTGACGGTGCCAATAATGCATGAGAGAGAAAGGCCCAGTACATCACCGGTGGGTAAGGAACAGTTCGCCGCCGAGCGAGGCTCAATCAGCGACTCCCGGGAGCAACAGGGGGCGCTTTCTTTACCAAAGAACGAGTCGAGTGGG